CAAGTCTACGCCGAATGTATCAGCCATATCTATTTACTGAGAATAATGTACAAACTCCTCCACAAACGCTTCTACAACTGACATCTTCTTCATCCTGGTTTTTTTCCTCTTGGTGGTTTTGGATAAGAGTTGAAAAGTCCAAAAGGTCAACTGATGACCTTTGCGTTACTTGGTATGATTGGGTTTTAGCGGATGATGTCGGTATGCAGCTGGGGAGCGAATTCGACAGGAAGAAGGTAAAGGTCTTGCTTTGCGGTTCACACCTTCACTTCAGTATCATTACAGTCCAAATGGCTTTCACTTGTCACTGTAGCGTTCGAATGTCAGGGGTAATACCCCTATTCCAGCACCTGAGGCGGTGCGTCAAGCGCCGCCTCTTTCTCATAATAAATTGTGACAAATGGTAAGTGTGCAGTGCTCCTAGCTCTCTCCCCCAACAAAAGAGCTCTATGACACTGTGCTTTCTGCGGTTTCTTTCGTTTTTACAGTGGAGAAAGGCTGGTGGGAGGCCCATCCGTGGCCGCACACCTGGCGGGTGCGGCCCATCTAACCCGTTACTGGGAGGGCCGGCAAGTCGGGCTGCTGTTGCAGTCCGACTACCGGGACGCCGTGGAGCGTATTAGGACCCTGTAAGTAAGCACTGCTCTGTCTACATGACGTATTCTTATCCCCCTCGTTATAGCGATACTTACTTGTTTCGTATCCTCTTGTCTTACCCTGCTTCCGTATTCGTGACACTAATAGTGTTTGTGTGCGCTCATGCTTGGTTTTACAGATGATGATGATGACATGAAGGTCTGGAGCTGCCGTCTTCGGGATGTGCCATTTGTTTCAAAATTATTTGTAAGTACTTGTAACAGGCGTAGTGTAGTAACTGTGTGTGTGTAGTGTAGTAACAGCACAGTCGTAATGTGTTTTGTGATGGTCCTGTGCAGTCGTCATGTGTTGGGCTACTGAAGTACACTGCATGAAGGGGTATGTGTGGGTGCTTCGACACATTCTCGTGCTTCCTAAACCCTAGATACATGTATAGCACTATAACCTAGATGTGTGTGTGTGTGTGTGTGTGTGTCCGCGCATGCATGCGTGTGCGTGCATTGTGTTCTCTTCTACAGACTCATCCAAGTCCATTTAAATAAAAGTGTATTATAGTAAACAGTATTGTGTTTTGTTACAGTGAATATGTGGGGGATGGTGGATATGCCTTAGTGTGACTGGATACCCGCGGGTTGTGACTCTTTGCTGGTCACTCTGGATTCTCCAGTATGGATTCGGTGCAGTGCAGAGGGGATTTGCGGTGCGTAGCAACACTGCTTCACTGTGACACCCCTTCAATAATTGTTTTTGATGCATGATACTCCGGGCGTAGCCGGTTGATTCTTACTGTATCCCGATCAAAATAGAAATATGCATCGAATGCACCTGCATGGATAGTAGGCATTTCCCAAATCGGGCGGCCGAAAAATTCGCCGAAAAAAGTGGTTTTGAAGAAATCACCCATCTTTTCGCCGAATTTTCAAATAACGCATGTTGAATTCGCCGAAAATCGATGTTTCAGTGCTTCAACAGAGTGTGTGTAAATGTACATGACGTAATGGGAACGGTGACTTCAAGTACTACGTTGAGCCGTATTCTGATCTTGGGGCTCATAATATGGCCGAATTTGAACATTCTCTTAACCGATCGAAAAGCCGATTACAATGCTCTGCAGGGCAACTTGTCAATCAGTGCACCTCTACGATGTGTGAATAAAACGAATGCAAGGAACGTGAACTTGTTTGCTGCACATCTACGAAGTGCGAATCAGGGAGTAGTATAATGACACGTGTACTAGTACACCTTGTGTTGCACTGCGTCTTTTCCACACGCATAGGACCACTGAAGGTCACACGCTCCGCGTGCGTATGCACGCATGCGCAATATGTCATTCACTGCATGCAATGCACATCTACGATGTGCAAATCAGGGAATAGTACGTATTTTACTACTCCACGGTGCGAATGCACCGAACGTGCACAAGTGCACGTTCGCCACCTTTGGCGAAAAGAACCTTAAGGATGACATTTATGGCATGCCAGGGGTCAAAGGTCAAACTCTGGGGGTCCCGGGGCCAGACCCAGCACGACCAACACAGTGTGCCTTATTTGGCCCAAAGGTCAAAGGTCAAAAAGTGGCCCAGAACCTGCCCCGCACCAGGGAGTCGTCAAATACCGGGAGTGGAAACGCCGTTAATCTTGATTATCCATGCTCGCCTCGCGCAAAATTTTTGCAGTGCCTTGAGTACCTCAGCGTCGTCAAATGCAATTTAGAGTAGCCTTGAGTATTTTTTGGGAGAAAGCGTCCATCAGAACGTGTATACAGAGATATTTGCAGTGGTCTTCTCGTTTACTAGTAGGAGGACACCTAATTTATCGGTAGGCGTTATCGCAGTGTTGCGATGTATGACTGGAGGCCCGATTCACGCGCGGATAGTGACGTGACTTTTGATGTAATTTATCGAGGAAAATAGCTCAGCCTCAGTAATCAAAGCCACTTGGTTCGACCCACGAAAAAACTTCTCGTAACCATTGTCCTTTTCATATAGGTGCTACCTGTGAATTTTCTCTGTGTAAGATGATATGCCACTGACTTTTTGAGGGACCCTTCGTTTCTAAAACATTATTGATTTTTAAATCACGACAACATTATTATAAAGTCAAGGAATTTCTCTTGTTTTCTTCTTCAGTGTAAGAGAACATCACCGCTTTCAGTATGTCTCATGTCAAGAGGAAGCATGACAACGTATATGCACCACCAACACTGAGAATCCAATAACACATTTGGCCGATTGTGGCGAGTATCACAGAATTGACAATGCACACCGAATTAAACTGTTCTAAATCCCTCTCTTTCTGTCTCGCTTCTCTTTGCCAACTTTGGGTGTCAGCAGTTAGGCATGCGTACATGCACGCACCAATATACGGGTGCGCACGTACCAATATACGGGTGCGCACGTACTCATTGGCATGCACAAACTGCACATGCACACACACGGCATGTACGAACTGCGCATGCACGCACATTCACACACATACACACACACTGGAATGCATGCATGCATGCACGCACACACACACAAACCTGGTCCTGGTAAACACTGCCATTACGGTCACCTGTCCCCTTGCGGGGCCGACAACATGGAAACGACGAGCGACGGCAGAAAGTCGGCAGTCTGCCAAGAGATCAGGGACCATATTCAATCGGCACGACAAGAGAGCCACCTTTGGCAGCACACACACACACACATACTGACATGCCCACACTGTGCATGCACACACACGAACACACACACGGTGGATGTTCATGTGTCTCAGATTTAATTATCTTTTCAAAGTTTGGTAGATTCGGAGACATGTTGGCCAGAATTTCATAGCCGAAAGTCGCCAACACCGGCTTGACGCTAGTTAACCCAGGCTTTCTGCTAGCTTCCAGTTCTCTTTTCACCGCAACAACACACCAACCACCATGGTATCTTTTTGGTGTCTCTGCAGTGCAGTTGACTATGGCGGTGGGCTGGGGTGCTGCTGCTGCTGTTGCTGCTGCGGATGATATATGATGGACGGCTTTCTTGCCACTACTGTACCGCAAAATAAACTTGAAAACACAGCTGATGTGGTCTCCAGGTCTGGACAAAACGCACACGGAAAACAGCGCAGTATTTCTATATTAAAATTGTCACAAGTATTCATCCAGGTAGAGAATGCCATGTGTATCCTGATTTCCTGACCATCACATAGTTTCTTAAATCTACCATTGCATTTCTTGCAACATCACGATAAAATATGTCAATCTTAGATAAAAGGTTACAACTTCGGGGCTGATCAACTTCACGGCGTAGTGGGTGGCCCTTGCAACAGAAGCTTCCCTGGGTCTGTACTTGACTGGAGGTTGATAAATCGAATGCTCTGTACATGCAGCATGCGTGTGTAACAAACCAAAACAAAGCTATTCAGTGATAGAAGTATTCATTTGATAAAGCTTGGTTTTACTCACCTCTCGCCAAAGTTCCTAAAACATCACTCGTAAAATGGCTACCGATATCTCCCTGTCCAGCATGACCATGCACTGCCGACGAATCCACGACGAAGAGTGATAATACTACAAAAGGGAAGCGGAAATCTGACGAGAAGGTTTATGTATGGAGACGTCAAAACTGCTCCGCTTGCAGGAAGAACCAAAAATAGATTTTGACATTTTGAAATTCCCGCGGAATTGGTGAATGTGGCACAAAAAAGATTATTTGGAAAAAATCGGCGTGCTCCAGCGCGAGGCGAGCATGGATCACGCTCGCGCATCTCGTTTCCACTCCCGGTATTTGACGACTCCCTGCCCCGCAATTACTACTCCCCGCCACGTGTGGATTGCTTGCCGAAATTTGAAGAGAGGAGTGAGGATTCGGACGCCACATGGCGACTCATCACCTCCACCAGACCCACAGCGAAGAAGAGAGTCCTGTTTGTCGGAAATCTGATGCATGCAATTACTGCAGACCAGCTGAAGGAGTTCATCGCAGCAAGAGCAGCTGAGGCTGAACACAATGTCCAAGTGTTTGACGTAAAAATATTTCAAAAAGAAAAATCCTCCACTGCGCGTATTGTTGCCAGTGCAGCGGACGAATCGTTTCTCAGCAACAAGCGCTTCTGGCCAAGGCCTGTGTACACAAGAGAGTGGAACTTCGATAAGTACACCCAGTCTGATGCCAGTGGAGATCAACAAACAGCGCAGAGCAGCACCACGACCACCAACAGCAGCAGCAGCCGCACGGACGACAGTAAGAGCGGATACAGCGTGGATTGCGATATCCTAGATGACACCTGTGGAGCACCGGCCCGGACTCCAGGCCAGAAATCACGGGGCTATCAGCGTTACTCGCCGCCCGAGACGCAAGCTGCGAAGTTTAGTGTCACTGTTGGCAACGCATTTGCATCCCTAAGTCAGGATGTGGATAATATATCTGTGCAATGACTGGAAGAAGATTAGGCAACGACCCTGCTGCTCATGAACTGAATATCCTGTCCATCAATATCAGAAGCCTGCGCCACAAACTGCGTGATGTTCTGGATCTTGCTGAAGGAACAAAATCTGACATACTTGTAATTTGCGAAACATGGCTGGACTCATCCGTCACTCCTGGCGATCTCCACCTCCCAGGCCATAACTTAGAAAGGCTAGATCGCAGCGGAAATGTTGGTGGTGGTGTCTGCATCTATTGGAAAGCTGAACTCAACTGCCAACCCAGGCCTGATCTCGTTTCTCCAGGCATAGAATGCTGTTGGATTGAAGTGAAAACCAGCCATCAGCCATGCCTGATTGGGAGCTTATACCGGCCACCAGGGTGCACTGTTTCATACTGGGACTCCTTTGAAGCCCTGCTGAGTAAAGCCTGCAGCCCAACAACGCAGACAATACTTTGTGGAGACTTTAATGTTGACACCAGTCGCAATTGCAGTAATCATATGCGGCTGGCTGATATTGCTACAAGTTATGGACTGCAGCAGCATGTACGCAGCCCCACTCGTATTGGACTAAGAGGACCACCAACTACAATTGACTTAGTATATAGCACAATGGAATGTGCTTCTCCTGCTACGAATCATGCTATCTCCTTCAGCGACCACCATGCTGTGACAACCCCTTTCAACATGGTTCCAATTCGAATTCCTCCTGCAGCTCCTGCACAGACACGGAACATCAGACGTATCAATATGGACCTGTTTCGGCAAGATATCCAGTGTGCTAACCTGTGCTCCATTAAGGGAACCTGTACCGAAATGTGGACCCAGTGGCACGAGTGTCTCATGTCACTTGTAGATCAACATGCACCACTCCGGCCTCGGAAGCACCGTGCCCACAATGTCGCACCATGGTATACCCCGGAGCTCGCAGCGCTTGTACGCAGGCGCAACAAACTGCATCGTAAGTGGCTGAGAACCAGACTTGATGTGGACTACTGCAGCCTCCAGCAGAGCAGACGGGAGGTTACCCGCACTAGCCGAGCACTGAAGGAACAGCATTACAATGAAGCATTTGTGAACGCTACAAGGAACCCAAGGCAGACTTGGCGTGTATTGAATCAGCTGAGCGAACGGCAGCCAGTCCACACTCTTCCCAAATGCTCCCCGGATGACATTGGTAATGTGTTTGCAGGCATTGTCAATGATCCTCAACGTCCCCCAGCCTTGACTCTACCTCAAGGCCCCATGTCTCCGAACAGCCTTTCAATCTTTAAGCCTGTTACCATTGCCCGTGTGCGTAAGCTCCTATCGTCAATAGCCATGACAAAAGCTACTGGCAGTGATGGCTTGCCCGGAACGATTCTTAAATCATGCGCTGACCTTCTTGCACCCTCACTGATGCTCATCTTCAACAAATCATTGTCCGAAGGCCAGTTGCCACCGAGCATGAAAATCGCCAACATCACTCCCGTCTACAAAGGTGGTGAGTAGTTAGTGCGGGCGGGTTCTGGTGCACTTTTTGACCTTTGAATCTTTGGGCCAATTAAGGCACATTGTATCGGTCGTGCTTGGTCTGGCTCGGGGACTCCCCCAGGGTTTGACATTTGACCTTTGGGTTAAATAAGGCACACTGTGTCGGGCGCGCTTGGTCTGGCCCCGGGACTCCCCCAGGGTTTGACCTTTGGCCCTGCCATGCCATAAATGTCATCATGTTCTTTTCCGTGGCGACCGTGCACTTGTGCACGTTCGGTGCATTCGCACCAGGGAGTAGTAAAAAACGTACTATTCCCTGATTTGCACACCGTAGATGTGCATTGCATGCAGTGACATATTGCGCATGCGCGCATAAGCACGCGGAGCGTGTGACCTTCAGTGGCCCTGCGTGTGGAAAAGACGCAGTGCAACACAAGGTGTGCTAGTACACGTGTCATTATACAAGTGTGATAGCCGACCTCATATACGCTGTACGAGGAGATTTTTTCCTCAGTATGTTGTAGGCAGTGCTGGAGGTTACGTGACGATGGCGGAGCCAAGTGCAAAACGATCCAGGCAGCCCAGACAGCCCACCTCGAGTGCCGTGCGAGGTTTTTTGAAAAACTTTTCTTTGCCAGGTTCAGGCACTGATCCTCTCGTCTTTTTCAGCAGCCTTCATGACGAGCTCAGACAGGTTCTCCTCGAGGAGCTTCAGTCTCACCCTTTCAAGGTGGTTTTAGTTTTGAGGGTGGAGATGACACGAGAGTCGGCCACGGGTAGTACGTCTGCCGTCCCGTTTTTTAGAAGTAGACCAGCTCGGATCCTCAGCGAAGGGGATATTGATAGTCCAGTCAAGACGATGGTGGCGAGGATCACTGGTCTTATTGATAAGTGGGTGCAGAACGGATCCGACTGGACCGTTTCTCGAGTGAGACAGCTGGATGTGTCGACAGCAAAGTACACTCCTCTTCGAGGTGAGTTTCTGTTCATCCGGCAGTGTTTGTTCGAAGCCTGTCGAATTTCTTGTGGAAAGTTGTAGATGTATTGTTTTGTACCAGATGTACAGTTTTTCGTGATTGTCGAGAGGGTGTAGTTGTGATGTGGTGTTACTCTGAGCAAAGCCTTGGTTGCATTTTTGTGGTGTACTGTAGGTGATGCAGCTGCTATCCCGCCCAAATTAGAAAAAAAGAAGGCCATCATTAACGTAAAGAACAACGATGACAGGTGTTTGATGTGGGCGTTGTTGTCAGCGCTGCACCCCGTCGAACAGAATGCTGAGTGTGCATCCAAGTACACCCAGTATGTTGATGATCTGCGGTTCGACGGTGTAATGTTCCCTGCAACGCTCCGTGATGTATCCAAAGTGGAGATACAGAATGGTCTTGCAATCAATGTGTTTGGCTACGAGGTGAATCTGTACCCACTCTATCTCAGCGAGCGACAGGAGACTCCCATCAACCTCCTTCTTCATGACAACCACTTCACATGGATAAAAAACGTCAGTCGTGCATGTGAGAATAAGAACAAGCGGACAACACACTACTGCTTGCGATGCCTCTCCGCACACAAAACAGCAGACTCCCTGCAGCATCACAGCGAGAGATGTCAGGTGATGAAGCCCGTGCCAGTAGTCATGCCCACAGCAAAGGACAGCATCCTCAAATATACAAATTTGAAGCACAGGATGGTGGCTCCATATATCATTTACGCTGATAAGGGGGCCATCATTGAGCCAATGGAGGAACAGCATGGCAGCAGCACTGTACGCACAGCCCGTCATGTACCATGCAGCATCAGGTATGTTTTGTTGTTGGTGTTGTTTTTGACTAATGTTTGCTGTACTCGGGCCTGCACAGTGCTTCCTGCTATTCCTTCTTGTCTTGTTCTCCCCAAATTGTGTTCGTGTTGTAGTATGTGCATTTTGTGTGATTCCATTTTTTCAAAAAATCACTTATTCTTACTTTCCTTCTTCTTTTATGCTCTTGTAGATATGCTGCCATCCGATCCAACGGTGAAGTCCGGGGCAAGTTTGACGACTGCAGTGAGAATGCCATTCACAACTTTTTTGACAGTCTCAAAGAGTTGGAAGGCAGTATCCAGGAGGATTTAGCTGATATCAAGCCGATCCGCATGACGGCAGAACTGGAGCTTGAGTTTCAGAACGCAGTCAACTGCTGGATATGTGACGAAGTACTTGGAGAAGATCGTGTTCGTGATCATGATCATCTCACTGGTAAGTATTATAATTTTTTGTTTATTCTTGTTGTTTTGCAGTTGTGTGTAGATATGCGCATGTGTATAGTGCATTTTCATGTCTTTGTAGCTGTTTGCATACTGTAAAAGCAGAAATTTTCGGTGGTGTTTTATTTTCGGTAACTTCGGTGCCGACAATTTTTACCGATAATAAAACGCACCGAAAATTTCGGTGCAACCGATACTGTATACATGTAGTACTATAATACTTACCTGGAAAACGGGTTTTACCGAAAATTTCCCTCTACCGAACCGCCGATTTTGGAGAATACCGAAAATATTACACCACCGAAAGTTTCTGCTTTTACAGTATGTGTTTTATCACAGTGTATTGAATTGTATTGTCTGTGGTATCACATTCACTGTAGATGTTTACTATGTTTGTGTATTCCCCTCTTTCTGAATATCTGCACAGGCAACTACCGTGGTGCTGCACACTACCAGTGTAATATTCAGCTGAGTATCTACCCAGATCGCCAGATCATTCCGGTTGTGTTTCACAACCTGAAAGGGTACGATGCTCACCACCTCATCGCCCACATTGGTATGACCGAGGTTAAAGAGGTGGAGTACGAGGACTCTAACCAGCGTAAGCGGATTAAGAAGGTTGGTGATATCAGTGTCATCGCCAACAACATGGAGAAATATATTTCATTCAAGTGGCGTCAGTACCGCTTCATCGACTCCATGGCCTTCTTGAACTCCTCTCTGGACTCGTTGGTGAGCAACACCCCGGAAGATGCCTTCAAGCTTACTCGTACATTGGCCCACCATGACCTTCTCCTGCGTAAGGGTGTCTACCCCTACGAGTACATGGACTCCTTTGCTCGGTTTGATGAGACACAGCTGCCACCTAAATCAGCATTTGAGTCTAGTTTGACTGGAGAAGGTATCAGTGATGCTGACTATGCCCATGCTCAGAACGTATGGCAGGTAAGCAGCTTGTGCCTTCTGTATTGACCCTTAGGATTTCCCTGATGCCATGCTTTTTGTATTGTGCTCTACTTATGACTTTGTATGCTGTTGTGATGTGCTCTACTCATTTTTTTTGTACTCATTGCGCTCCATCTGTGGATGTGTGGATGCTTGTGTGTATGGATGTGTGCGTGTGTGTGTGTGCGTTGTTGTTTTGTTTTTCGTTTTGCAGACATTTGAGTGCAGCACAATGGAGGCATATCATGACCTCTATTTGCAAACAGATGTCTATCTTCTAGCAGATGTCTTTGAGCATTTCCGCAAGACGGCATACAAGACGTATGGGTTGGATCCAGCCCATTACCTTACTCTCCCAGGTATGTTCATCAGTCTTTGTTGTTGTCCAATGCATTCTCTCCTTTAGATGGTGTTCTCTGTTAGTATTCTTGTGCTTTCTTGTCGGTGTATTTTTATACTTTTTGCATGGTGTATTGACTTTCGTGTTTGTGTTCTGGTGTGTTGTATGGTGTTATGTAGGATATGCATGGGATGCTCTACTACGGTTCACCCAGATTGAACTGCAGCTGCTCACGGATGTAGACATGCATCTGTGTGTCGAAGCCGGTCTACGTGGGGGCATCTCAATGGCGTCGCAGCGGTACGGCAAGGCCAACAACCCAACGATGGATCAGTACAATCCTGCCAAGCCCACATCATACCTGCTATACCTTGATGCCAACAACCTGTATGGCTGGGCTATGTGCCAGAGTATGCCGACATCCGAGTTTGCCTGGTGTGACAAGAACCTGTCCGATATACTGGCACACCCTGTAGATTCGAGCACTGGGTTCATTGTGGAGTGTGATCTTGAGGTACCCACTTCGCTGCACCATTACTTCAATGATTATCCACTCGCACCGGAAGTGATGAGAATATTCTCAGATAAGCTATCACCATACCAACAAGCACTTGTGGAGGAGCTCAAAGTGTCAGCCGTAGATGGAGTCAAGTTGACACCCAGTCTCCTACCCAAGTCCAAGTATGTGTTACACTACCGTACACTGCAGCTGTATTCGCGTCTGGGCATGGTGGTGACCGCTGTTCACAAGGTGTTGGGATTTCAGCAGAGTGCCTGGATGGCTCCCTACATCAATCTGAACACTGCACTTCGCACGAGGGCTACAACCGACTTTGAGAAGAGCTTTTACAAGGTAAATGCAATCGTTGTGTGCAGTCTTGTATGTTGTTGTTGTTGTTGTTGTTGTTGTTTTTTTGTTTTTTTTGTCGCATGTATGGTGCAAGTGTGACGTGGAGTTTGCTAATTGAAAATATGCTGATGTGAAGGAATGGCAAGATATGATTCTCATGTGTCATGTTTGCCTGTTTGTATGCTGCAGCTGATGAGCAACTCAGTCTTTGGCAAGACGATGGAGAACGCTCGTAATCGAACACGCATCGATCTCTTGCGGGAAGAAAGTGAGGAGCAGGTACTGAGGGCAGTGAGCAATCCTACATATGTGCGGCACGACATTTTCCCGAACGGGCTTGTCAGAAGAGAAAAGCAACGCACTGAGATCAAGCTCAACAAGCCGGTCTATGTGGGTATGTCGATACTAGACCTGTCAAAGGTGCACATGTACTCCTTCTACTACGATGTGCTGAAGGAGCAGTACGGTAGCAGAATCCCGCTGTTGTACACCGACACCGACTCTGTTATTGTGCACATAACCACCGGTGATGTTTATGCAGAGATGGATCTGTCTCTGTATGACACCAGCAACTTTCCCACTGACCATCCTCAGTACACTTCTGCCAATACGAAAGTGGTTGGCAAATTCAAAGATGAGCTT